GGAACCACAATGGAGCCTGTGGGTAGGTTTAAATCTCAGGTTTTCGGTTTAGAAACTCAACAATTTTGAACATTTCCGTAGCGATTGCTAGTTAGAAAGGAGCATGTGCTATCCAAACCGCAAGCGGTAGAGTAGCCCGAAGTGGCGTTAAGGATCGGGTGGTGCACTCCAAGACCAGGACTTCACATCCGATGCACAGAACTTNNCCCCCCCCCCCCGACGTCTCTCTACACCAGAGAACCAGCTGCCACGCGTTATCTAATGATGGACACGAACACCAAGAGAACAAGTGTCCCTTGCTCCCGATGCTCCGAACCTGAAAACCTTCAGAAGCCTCCAATGCAGTTTTGTGGGGGCTTAGGCTTGTTTTGTTAGGGTGACTTTTACACATGCAAAAGCAAGCCTGTGTTGCAGGGTCCAGGCAAGCCCTAGCGACCCTAACTAGTATAGAGCCCTTAATTAAAAACGAACAGGGCGTTGACCGTAAACTCTACTAGCAAACACTATAGCTAAGTTGAGTAAGGAACACATCAGAAACATGTGAAGTTACAAAATATTGTATAAAGTCCGTCATTAGCCCCCAACCCGGTCGTTCTATTTTTGCCAGAGGCGAGCTCGAAGTCAGAGCTCGCTTCGCGGGGTTCGCTCGCGCAGGCCTGCATCAAAAAGTACAATATGCTTTAACTAAGGGATACGACCAGAACGAGGGGGGCATTACAAATGTCTGCATGAACACACACACATACATACATACGGTCATCGTTTCACAGATTTGTTTAAAATTGCATCGATGTTCTGTATACAAGCATGTTTCTTGGCCAAGGCATATTGAACTGGGTATTGGGTTCCCTCCTGTTTTTCGGCAGCAAATAAACATGAGGTTGAACAACACTTGGATGCAGGGATGAGAGAAACATCGTGATTATGAAGCTATCCAACTTTCTGAACAAAAAAGTGCATTTCATGTAGGGATTCGGACATGGGTTAACTGAGGATGGTAGGCTCCTCGGGTTTATCGGCACTAATTATAGGAGATTATACAAGCCTAAGCTCAACATCTCATTCCTAATGCGCTGAGCGTAAACCCTAACAGCTTAACTCCAGATAAAGCCTATAAGCCCCGAACCCCAAACCCTGCAACCCTACAACCTTCAACCCTCAACGTTTAGGTTCCCTATCTCATGGGCTAAATATGGAGCTCTGGCACATGATCTTCCGGACAACTGCACAAAGCCAGAAAAAAGAGCCTAAATAAGGAGAACAACTCGTGAGCCTGTCGGCCCAAGCCCTAGACATCAGATCTGATCGCATCTGCTCAGCTTCTGCTACACATCGAAACCGGCTCATCCAAAAAGCAAACACAAAAAAAAACATGAAGCAACGTGCATAGACTCTTCCGCGCTATGAGCCGCCAGCTGAACTGCTGCACACATCCGCTGCAGAATCAGCTTGATGTAGGAAGCTGATTAAGAAACACCCATGTGCAGACCCGAAGCCCTTTAGCACATGGTGGCAGTTCAATACACCTGTCCCCCCAAGTGATACCGTGGTAGTTCGGATCTGCTAAGCGAGAAGTGTACGCACTTGAAACAGACTTTCTTGGGAGCAACGCCCACTTGGAAGTAGCCTGCTAAAACTAGACTCTCCACTATTCAAAATTCAATGGAAGCCCCAATGTATGCTGGTGCAAATCATGATGAAGAAGCCCTATATGATGACCCCTTATATGAAGAACCGAACATTAGCCCTCAAACCCCCTTATTCTACACGGACAAGGCCGAGGCCCCAGCGCTTCTTCAGCGGCTGCGGATGATCGAGCGCAGCACGATGTCGCTCTGCAGTGTAGTATCTGCAACAACGGAGGGTGCTTAGCTGCAGGCCTAGGCTCAAAAACCCCAAACCCATAACGGGTACTATAGGGCTCTATAATGATCGGGCCCCCCCTTAAAGGGGTATTAGGCTTTAGGGCTTAGGGGCTCGGGGGTTTAGGCGGTTTAAGTTATAAGGCTTTTCCCCTCCTACCTAGCAAGGACAAAGACCGCATTTTCTGTTGCTTCGGGGCTCCATGGATTTGCCCGCCGAACAGAAGATGAACAAAGCCCGCTTTGCAGGGTAGGGTTTAGGGTTTCGGGTATAGGGTGCAAGGGTTTAAGGAGTGCAATTCTGACACTGGTAGCGAACATGTTTATGTTACATCCCAAACCCTACGTGACAAACTCCAAACCCTTCGCGCGCCTCCGGCCCATGCCTATCGAACCCAAATCCGCACATGCCTCTCCAAACAAGCCTCTTGTTTGCAGAACCCGCAAAGAGAACCACACAAAAAACAAACATCTAAAGGGAAGCCCCCATACCATGTCCGGGGCCGGCCTCGGACTTTCGATCTAAACTCAAATCCCTAATCCCTTAACCCGAATCCCTAAACCCTAAACCCTGAACCCTAAACCCTAAACCCTAAACCCTGAACCCTAAACCCTGAACCCTAAACCCTACACCCAACTCCCTCACCGGCCTAAGGCTCGGGATTTCCGGCGGCATGTCGAAGTCGTGAGCCAAAGCGTCCTCACCGAGCCTCTGACTGAAGTTATTTCCCTAATAAGGGCTTAGGGTTTCGGGTTTAGGGTTTAGGGTTTCGGGCCACGGGACGGAATAAAACTTGGGTTTACGGTAGTAGTTTTGAAGGCGAGTATTTGGGAGACTATGTGAGTCTTAAAAAGACTTGCGCCCTCAAGACGTTGACATGTCAGGGAATCTACATACCATGCCTTTTTTTGAGGAGGGGCTGCAGTGCTCACCTCACCGGGAGGCTAACACACCCAGGCCAGAACCCAAACCCTGAAAACCCAGCTACCCATAGGCCCCCAAGTAGTTCCTTTTGGGGGATTACCTCATAGGATTCTAAATATGAACCACAACAAGGAACTGCTTGGGGGCCTATGGGTAGAAGCTTTCCCGGTCTCGATCCTTCTGAGATCTTCTGAGCCTCTGAAAGAACCCGCAGAACTGGGAACTTCCCTACTCAAGTTCGACGCCCTTGTCTGGCCTGTGGGTCTATAGGGATTGCAAGGGTCTTGATGACCAGAAAAAAGTGTTTTGGGGGGTATACTTATAACTTATACCATGCCTAGATGACCAGAATAAGGTGTACTTATACCAGACTTAGAAGAAGGAACCCTCAGGACTAGCATTAGCACTAATTCAGGCTTCTATTTTGGGGCTCGAGGCCAAAACCCTAAACCGACATTAGGGTGAGCCCTGAACCCACCCAGAAGGGCACCTTGCAAGGGAGAAGCTCGACCACTCGGATGGAGTCTTGATCTCCGCTTTCCAGGTAGCCATCGGGTGGAGGAGCACTTCCTGAGCTTCCCTCAAGGTCCGAACTACCGGGTTTAGGGTTTAGGGGTTTAGGGTTTAGGGTACCTACATAAGAGCATATAGGCTACAGGGTTTATATAATCGGAATTATGGTTTGTGTAGGTACCGCCCTTGATTATGGATAGTTTTCTAGAGTAGGGCTCCCATTTTAAGTCCCCAGTGTAGCGCGGCGCCCTGATAAAAAGGGCCCCCGAAGGGACGCTAGTTTAGAGAATGGCGCTGAGTGCCCTTTGCCTTTGGGCTTAGCTTTGAAGGTTTAGGATTTAGGGGTGGGGCATCACCATACGATTTCATGCAGGGGGCTGCAGAAGATGTCTGGAAAGCGAACGGTTTAGGGTTTAGGGCTTTGGCCCAGGCCTTCTCATTTCGGGGACATGCATGGAGTTAGAGCTTACGGACCCGAGTTTTTTGCCGTATGGTGTCCGGGCTCGGAATTTAAATTTAAGGCTTCCACCACTAAACCCTAAACCCCTAATTCCCTGAACCCTAAACCCCTAAACCCTAAACCCCTAAACCCTAAACCCTAAACCCCTAAACCCAAAACCCCAAAACCCCTAAACCCAAAACGCCTGAACCCTAAGCCCCTAAGAGCAGCCCCAAGGATTGGAGGAGACTTGGCACCCTCCGCCTCTGCAGCTTGGACTACATGCGGTTCTCAAGGGCTCCGGGTGAGGGGCAGTGAGGGGTTTAGGGTTTAGGGAGTTTAGGGGTTTAAGGGTTTAGGGTTTAGAGACCAGATTTAGTAGGTTAGTTACTAGCCATGTAATAGGTAACCCAGTAACCCGCTATTTAAGTATTGAAGTAACTGGAGTCCTAAGGGTTGGCACTTGGAGAGGTTACTCTTGGCACTTGTTGAGGGTAAGTAGGGTATGGTCTTGCCACAGTGTTCTGCTGCTGGTATGTCCTTCTACACTGGCCTGACGCAAAGTGCGCTTTGTTGCTTGATACAGTGCTCCGATTCTCGAGCTTCAGCTTGAAATGTTGCTTGAGTAAATCTTTCACAGGCCTTTTCAGATAGCTCGCTTCGCAGCTGGACTGTTGATGTTCTGCCTCGTTACGCCCAACTCCAGATCAACTCCATGATGAGCCACGGTCCTTGCAATGCTGAGGCCTCCTGTCAAGGATGAATTTCTACCGCCAGAAGAGCCGGCCCCGGCCCCCGCGGCAGTTGAGCAACTCCTGCCCGCCAGTCCTTCCTTGCCTCCGCCAGCGGCCCCGGGCAACCCGGAGCCAGCAGGCCAGAAACCGGAGGCGGACCCAGCGGTGCCGGAGCCAGAACCCTCGGAGCCTCCAAAGGAGATCGAAGAGCCAAGATCTGCCTGGGAGGAGATACAAATTCGAGTGGAACCTCCCGAGCTGGAGCTGCCTCGACAGCTTCCCCAGGGCCCCAAGCCCATGTGGCAGGAGATGATGGAGTCGCAAGATCCCCCAATGCCGCCGCCCCTGCAACCGCCCGCACAGCATCCGGCGGAACAAGTGCAACTGCCGCCCGTCCGGCCAGCGACAGGCAGACTGAAAGTGCAGTCCCAAAGTAGCTTGCAGCTTGTGCCTTGTTTCGGCAGCATGACAGGCTTGGTCAAGATCAATGTGGCATGGGGCCTCCACAAAGGGCGAGTTTTAACAATTGTCTCTCGAGCCCAACCCTTCAACAGGCTCAACAAACCCCCTGCCAAACCCACGCACTGAGCACACTGCAGAAAGCCGAGTGTTGCCCATCTCCGCCGCAGGGGGTGGAGCTGCGCCGGTGGAGCAGGGGGTCATCTCTGACACTGGACAAATGGTCGCGTGGCTGGCGATGGATATGCATGGAGAGCTCATTTTAGCAAAGTAGTGGTGGAGGTCAGGTTCGTGATGGTGGTCGTGGTCGTGGTCGTGGTCGTGGTCGTGGTCGTGGTCGTGGTCGTGGTCGTGGTCGTGGTCGTCGTCGTCGTCGTCGTCATAGTAGCAGTCGCCGTCGCGTTGTGGTGGCGGCCATAAGGTTGGCCATCATCATCATCATCATCAATGTCCTCCTCCTCATCCTCCTCCTCGTCCTCATCATCATCATCATCAACAACATCATCATCAGCAGCAACATCGTCATCGGCAAGCAAACCCCCGCCACAAACCTTGGACGTAACAGAACATGCTTGACTACTTGTGTGCTGATCGGCCCGTCCTGATCACCACATACAGATAACCATGTCCGAACTAGTTGTGGCAATTCTTGGCATACCTGCTATGCAATGCTTGTGCGAGTGTGACGGGGCAAAACACCGATATCGGTTCCCGGTATGAACTGCTACAGATATACACTGGGATACATGCGACAGTGCTCTAGACTGTGAGAAGCATGAAAATGCATACGGATTACGCCATCAGTATATGGATGCGTAAGCTCGCAACCCGATATCTATCCAATATCCAGTTGTTTACCACAGCCGGGACCAAGGACCTGCTACGTCTGTTGCAGGGCACTCAAGAGGAGGCCTTTCTGGGAATGAGAAAGGTTGCTCTTTTCTACGACTTTGCGAAACGACAGCAAGAGACTAATTATATATAATATATAGGGTCAGAATAAGTACAAGCTACTAATACAGATCCTTCATGTATAGTCCCCAACAGTTATTTTATACAAAAACCCCAATACCCGATTCTAATTGTTCAGGCCCTGGTAGCCTATCACAGCCCGAACGAGCGAGGATGGTTTTGGGGTTTGGGCGAGCTGACTACAGGCTTGAGAGATGCGCAAAATGTATTGGGGAGTTTGGGGTTTAGGGTTTAGGGGAGCAGAGTGGGTTTAGGGTTTAGGGTTCAGGGTTTAGGTTGAGGGTTGTGGAGTTTAAGGAGTTTCGGGTTGTGGTTTAGGGTTTAGGGATAAGAGTGTAGGGTGCAGGGTTTCGAGTTAGCGTGAAGTGCGGCAATTGGGGTTTGACGAGATGCTCTTGCATGGGTTTTGGGGAAACATGACCGGTAACTTAACTAAAACGCCCGATTCCCTAAACCCACTGAAACCACAAACCTTCTGGATGGAAGGTTTCGCCTCCAGTGAAGCCGGAAGCCACAGGCATTGAGGGCTTGGTGGGCAGTTTAGATGTTGACTTTTCGGCAGGGTTCGTGCCTTTTTGATGTGTGCTTGTATCAGAGTAGGTAGAACATAAGCGTTGAACTCAGTCGTGGTATGTCCGGCCATGCTTACCATCGATAGAGACGTCGAGACATTGGGCGAAGAGCCACTCTCTGTGAACTTGTGCATTCCGTGCGAAAGTTTTGCCACGGTATGCCTGCATCGCAGACTCCATCATCTTCCTGTGGGTGGGAGGAGTCCATCCTGGAAGTTTTCCAGCAATTCTGGCAGACAAAGTGCCGCTCAACCCCATCTCCCAAAACTGCAATGGCTGTGTGTCAGATGACATCAGAGGATACAGCGATGTGTGCATTCATGCAAACGACATCCTGTTGCGGTGCCGTCACTCGGTTGCTCTGATTTGCTGCGCCTTTCACGGAATCGCGATCCGAGCATCTAGTTCAGCTAGATAGCTCAAGTCCACCGAAGAAGTATTTCAGCCAAGATGCTGACCCCGTCTCACGGACTCACTGAAACCTAGTCGCCCTGTTAGACCCTGGATCCCAACCCTATGCCGGCCCTCTGCCTGCCAAGTTCCCGCCAGGCCCGCCCGTGGCCAGCACACGCCCCTTTGAGGAGGCGTGTGAATAGTGCACATGGTCAAGAAGCAACCCAAAAAAAACTTGAACTCATCTTTGGGACAACCCAGTCTCAACCTAGATGAATAGTAATTATAGCGACCTGGAGCTGCCTCATGTGACATACTTTATGTCGAAGGGGGCCGGCAGTTCAAATCTTGAGACTCCTGCAGTGGGACTGTCGGGCCAAGGGTAGTTTCGTCGGGTTCTCCATGACGGGCATGCTGGCGCTAAAAAACCAAGCACATGCGAGCGTTGCACTGGAATCGGAGATCAGCTTTTTGGTGTTGATTTTTACTGCCTACCTCGCCACGAGCTTGAGTCGCGAACCCACGGATGTAGACTATAGGGTTTAGAGTTTAGGGTT